CACACACACACACACACACACACACACACACACACACACACACACACACACACACACACACACACACTATAAATGGACTTCAGTCTTGTTATGCAATGACTCTCCTCTGCAGCGCTACAGGAAGCGGTGTCAGTCCTCGGCAGCCGTGGCTCTGTCAGCACGCTGCAGAATCATATCATGGTTTTTATGTTGGGGCAGAAATATATTTTATCCTCTGGTCATGTTTAGTCTACGAGAACTTACATTTACAGTAAAGTTAAGATCACTGAGAGCAGGGTTTAGAGTTTTTAGTGTGTCTTTGTTTTAGTTTTGACCTTGGGTTTTACTTTACTGTGCTCTGAGTACTTCCTGTTGAATAATTCAGTTTTTAGTGGCTTAACTGGATAAACTTCAGGTTTAACTCTAGAGTTTCTGCTTCAAAAGCTGATTTACTTCCTACTGTGTATTGGAATTTATTACAATGCTAAAAACATATTTGCGTGCCTCAGAACAGATTGGGTTTCTAGATGAAATATCCATCCATCATCTTTACCGTCTTCAGGCTTTTCGGGTCATGGGGGTCACTGGTGCTCATGTCCAGCCAGCACTGTGCGAGAGGCGGGACACCCTGGACAGGTCTCCAGTCCGTCACAGGGACACATAGAGACAAACGAACATTCTCTCACTCACACCTTGAGACAATTTAGAGTTACAATCAGCCTAACATGCATGTTTTTGGTCTGTGGGAGGAAACTGGAGTACCTGGAGAAAACCCACACATGCACGGAGAGAACATGCAAACTCCACCCAGAAAGACCCCTGGACCGGGGTTTGAACCAGTGACCTTCTCACTGAGAGTCAACAGCTCTACCAGCTGAGCCACCGTGCTGCCCTAGATGAAATATAACACACCTAAATGTACCACCTACAATTGCCAGTTATTATAATTATTATTAATATTAGTCCTCCTTACTGTGGTGGAGGAGTTTGCGTGCCTGAATGATCCTAGGATGCTGTCGGGGGTAATTGAAATTGCCCCTGGTAGGGTCTCCCAAGGCAGACTTGTTGTAGGTGACAGACAAGACAAAGAGTGATTCCAAAGACTCACATGGACAGGAAAAATGAAGGAGCTCAGTGTCATAAACTTGTGTGCTAGTCATGGTTTGTCCATCACCAACACCATGTTCGAGCATAAGGGTGTCCGTAAGTGCACTTGGCACCAGGATGCCCTGGATCAATGATCGACGATTGACTTCATAGTCGCGTCATCTGATTTGCAGCCGTTTGTTTTGGACACTCGGGTGAAGAGGAGCAGAGCTGTCAACTGATCACCACCTGGTAGTGAGTTGGATCAGATGGGGGATGAAGATGCCGGACCGACCCGGTAGACCCAAACGTGTAGTGAGGGTTTGCTGGGAACGCCTGGTGGAAAGATCTTCAATTGACACGTCTTTAAGGAGAGCTTTAAGCACATCCCAGCTGAGGCGGGGACATTGAGTCTGAGTGGGCCATGTTCTGCATCTCAGTTGTTGAAGTAGCTGCTTTGAGCTGTGGCTGCAATGTTGGTGCTTCTCGCGGTGCCATCCTCGAACTCGGTGGTGGACAAATTCACATTTTAGTAGAAATGCACCGATTCGATACCTGCATCAGTATTGAATATGAAACTGTGTTGTTTTTCTACGCAGGCAAAAAAGAAGTTCAATGTCCAAACCAAGATTATTTCCTTTGTTGTTTTCATCAAGCGACAAACAAACGTTTGTCCTTCCTGTTCCTTCTCTGCTCTGGTGAAAAAGCGTAGGCCCACCCCATTGCATGCTGGTCCTACACCTGATCACCTATTTATGGGTTTTTACCAATCCTTCATAATCAATGCAACAAAAATTACTTCAAATACTAGCATTTTTTATTTTTACAATACAATAGTCACTCATTTATCGTAGAGGATCCGTACCCTGAAGACCCGCGTTAAGTGAAAAACCACAAAGTAAGAATATTAGTACAAGTAGTAAGTAATAGTTTATATATATGAAGGTGTTTTAAATCCTTCCCACACTCTTGCAATATTCTAACCAATGTTTCTAAACTCTAAACGCTCTAAAAGACACAGAATGTCATGATTTCAGCTCCTGCCTCCTCTGTTCTTTGCCACCTGCAAGTGCTCTTGGCCACGCCCACTTCTCCACTCTGCAGGAGAAACAGCTGATCAGCTGCAGCAGGAAGTTTATCCTGCAGTGTGGGCTGCACAAAGGTGCAGCAGGTGCTCGATATTTTAAAATAATTTATTTTAAATAAAAAAGCCATGCCAGTCGTGTGGCTCATCCATCAATCAGCCAATTGTTTGTCATGTCCACTCGGATTTTGAAAAAGTGATAAACGAACCACGAAGTAGTGAGGGACTACTGTATATTACAAAATAAGAAATCCTAAAGGAATTAAACATAATTATTTCAAAAACGAAAAAGCTTAAATAGCTCCTACAACCATTATTAATGCTAATATCAAATTTTGCAAACTGCCCACGATTTTCAAATGTTAGCTAAAATTAGTATCAGCTGCAAATGTTGGCGACTAGTTTGCAAATGGCATTCACAAGGGAAGCTCCAAGAAAACAGCCAAGGCTACAGCCCCAAATATCAGGCCTAAAAACCATACTTAAGGCTTGATACTGTTATTAAAAACACTAAATTAACTTTATTGTTAAACAACAGCTTCAGGGTTGAAGGCCTCGAGTCTCATTTACTACCATGTAATTTATTAGAGGAGCAGAAGTTTTAGGTCATGGACTCGTTTAAATTAAGGAGATTGAGTTTTCTCAGCTCAACAGCTGAGCCCAAAATTTCATACATGAAATGATAAATCATGAACTGGTTTGAATCATTTTTTATTCAACATATTGAAAAAAGTGGTTATCAATATTTCTGTTTTGATTGAACTAACTAGGCTAATTATATATTTTATTACAGCCGATGTCCTGCTTTGTTTTTCTCATAGGACTGAGTTCAAGGCTTACAGAGACGTGAAGCCAGTAAAGATGATCCGGGCCAAGTCTCAGTACCTGCCGCCTGATGGAAAGACGAGCCTGGAGACCAGCTACAGTGCCACCTTCAAGGCACTAGCTCCGCTGCAGCCTGGTGACAACAAGGCTCAGGAGAGGAGGAGGATACGCAGCCTGTACAGCGAGCCGTACATCGAATCCAGCAAACAGGTGAGGACAAACCTGGATAACCTGTTCTAGTGCCGAGATCAGAATCATAACCGAGTTATTTCAGCTCAGGAATCACTTCTTTGCTATCTGACGTTCTTAGGTTGACAGGTATAGTGTCCCGCGCTCTAAACCCAAAAAGTCTGGAGCCACAGCGGCAGGCCAGGGCAAACCAGCGAGGAAAGCCAAAGATAAGCAAAGTGCCACGCTGAGGGGCTCCAAGAAGACGACGTCAGAGAACCAGCCCGAGAACCGGCCAGCAGTGGGGGACAAGGAGAAAAGTAAAGAGATCAACAACAAACTGGCTGAGGCAAAAGAGTAAAAATCATTTAGACTTCTCCTTTTCTTTCTTTTCGTGGGAAACAAACACAGAGGCTGCAAAATTGGTTCCAGGTTCTCGTCTTTGTGTGTCTCTTGTTTCTTCTTTAGCAACTCTTCTGTTACATCCTTTTTCTTCGTCTTCTCACTACCTCTGGGCTCCATTTAAACGAGTTTACCATGTCAGGGTTTGAACATGCCATCCTTCCGTCTCACTCTGTACTACATCACTATAGTAGGAGTGGGCGGAAGCATCCTCTCTCCTGTCTCCGCCATTTGATGCCACCCACCTCTCCCACTCTGCTCGCCTCCATCTTCAGGTTGCCATGGCTACTGGCTGCCTGGCCAACCAATGGAGGACTCTTGTTGCATGGGCCCATTTTCAAGCACGTCTGAAGGGTTTGGCTTGGATCAACTGAACAGATTGCTTTGTGCACTTTATCAAGGATTTGTCTCAGTTTTTCTCTATTCCTTTTTGTTTTTGTTTTTTAATTAACAGGGCATCATTTTTGGCACTTCGGATAAAATTTCTGCCCCAAAATGAGGAGTAAATGTAACAATCTTTGATAAATGTCCTGCTTGGTTATTCATGATGAGCCACCTGTTCTGTTCCCTCTGCTGATGTTTTCTGGTTTATGAACCTCTCTGTGTTTGGCAGTGTTTCCATAAATGCTTTGGTAAATGTGATGTTTGTATTTCATTGTGAGCCCTGTTGTACGCTACAGTCTGTCTGTAATTCTTAAAAAATACACTCTGCTCTCTCATTCTGCTCCTTTCATGCTCAGCTCATTCACACAGCGGGACTCTGTAGCACCTGATTTGTTGCCATTGAAGCAACTGGTCTCATCAAACACCAGTATGTGAGCAGATGAGCACTCAGCGAGTTATGAAACATGCCGTCTTGCTGCTGTTACCTTTTTATTTCAGAGTAGCAACATGTCTTGCTTCTATCTGTTTCTATTCTATCTTTGATTAGATAGAAAGGCGCCGTATAAGTCCAGTCCATTTACCATTTCTCATAATCAGAGTATTCCAACACACTGTAAACTCAGTGTAATCACCTCCAACAGTCTTTACTCACGAGACTGAGCCGTCTGTATCGTTGAGATGGAGGAGCAGTTTGGTTTGGCTTTTTGTTGTACAGTACACCCTGCAGAGGGTGACCAGAGCCAATGGGTTTAGACTGCCATGAAACGATAGCAGACAACTCATGATCACTCCTTCAGCATCACCTGGTAGGACAGAACCAGGTGATTGAAGCACAGATCTCAGTTCCAGATGAGCAGTCGTTTGTCAAGTTAGTTCCATCACTGTTGCTCCACTAGGATGGTGCCATGCCTCCTCGTCATGCGCTCTCTACACCCAGCTGAATCGACTAATCCACACCCTCCACAAGCCAACAACTTCACACAATGCTAACCATCCTTCATTTGCCCTTTGGAAACAAAGTAGCTTGCTCTTATCATGGTCGGGCTTCTGCACAGGAAAGTCCTTTACTTGTATCTTCTCATGTTGCAGACGGTGTGTCCTCCACCTCAAGGCAGGAACTAAAGGTGGATGTCCAGAAGCATCCCATGTAGGAAAATTCTGTAGATTGTGACAAGGTCATGGTACAATCATGCACATTCATGTTACCCATCATGCATCATGCTAGTGAGGCATGAGCTCCTTTTAGTGCAACCTGATGTGATCAGAGTTGTTCCAGGGTGGAGGCCAGGTCATGGTGCAGCTATGGGTGCATGTGGTTGTGTTGTCAAGGGAACATTCTGCTGACATGCAGAGAACAAAGGAGTGCCTCAGGGATGCAGAAAATAGTTGTGGTAAACCCTAATTATTGTTAGGTGAACACGTTTTTATTTCTGAGGATCCTTTTGGTTTACTCTACAACAAAACAAAACAAAAAAACAAGTAACAGCCTGAATATGGACAGGGGCGCTGCCAAAAAGTTTATCAATGGGCGGCCAGATGGGGGCAACTGATAATCTTGGGGTGGCACACCAAAACTAAACACTATAACCATATTCCAGGAGTTTTATTATGCTGTTTTCATACACTTATAACTAGGGATGCACAATATTATCGGCATGGTATCAGACAATATTAGTGATAAAGTTAAATATCGGACATCGGCCAGTCCATCAAAATAACTCACCGATATAAAAGGTGGCCATTGAGTTTAGATGTTTGAAAATGTACAAATTTTCACTGTTCAAGTGTTGTCATTGTGTTAGAGAGAGTAAATGTCATGAATAAATTTGACATTAAACATAATCCAAGTTAAAGTGTTACATAATTTTCAGCCCCCCTTTTTGGCATCTGCATTTGGTTGCAGGCCAAACTGACAAAGACCGTGCAGAATAATATAGTATTTTAATTCCACAACAGAGAAAGTTATGTATTCTCTGTAAGTAGGTCTAGGGGGGGGAAATATTTGTATTGGTATTGGTTATCGACCAAATAAGTTTTTAACATATTGGCTTATCGGTTATCGGCCAAAAATCCAATATTGTGCATCTCTAGTTATAGCTGTTTAAAAACACATTTTAATGTTGACCTGCCTTGATCTTCTGTTTGATTGCTGATGTTAATTGAGAACAGCACAACCCTTACTCAGCTCAACAGGATGGTGTTACATTGAGGACGTGAGAAGATTTGAACCGGTTTTACTTGCAAGGGCAGATGTTCACCACAGCTTACACGGATGTACAGAAGTTCACGTGTACGTGCATGGAGCCCAGTCATGAGAATATGTCACGGGCAGTGTGCGAGCTTTGTTTTTATACACTTATCAGCAGCTCACAGGAAGCCTGGTGTCCTTGGCCATCCAGCTGCACATGCAGGATCCTCATCTCTCTCTGAGAGAGAAAAGAGCTCTCTGCTAACTCAAACACATGGTTCATGGGCAGTTATTCTCAGCCATAGTAGTTAAAAAACATCCAGAAACCTTGACCAAAAATCCCTGACATGATACTTTTGAGCAACAGACATTTTAGACCTAAAACAAGCTTTGAACCACAAAACAACTGCTTATTTGTTCCTCTGGTTCTGCTTTCATATCGTCTCTTCTGTCTTAGACTTGCCTGGATATTTGCGGACTGAGACCTTCTGAGTTGTCGTGTTTTAGTTAGAGGACTCTTTGTTTTTCTCGTTTCGCACCGACTCACTTCACAGTTGTTCTGCTGCTTAGCGTCTTTCCCTTCAGTCATGATGAGTGACAGCTGTGTTTCTGTGTCTTTGTGTTCAGCAACCATCACCACCACCATAACCATCCAAGCTGAACGCAAACCCCATCGAGGACAAAGACTCAACTCATTAGCATTTTGCAGCCTTTGATTGGTGGTGGTGGAGGGAGGTGGGGGCACCTTGTCATGTAACACAAGGGAGGGGGCTTTAAGGGGACAGTTAATGTAAATTCGTACACTACGCACCTGGTGCTATCTATATGTAATAATAAGGCAAACAAAGAATAGAAAGTATGGTTTTGTTTTAGACTACAATAATGTGACGTGCTTGTGTTCTGCCTGCTTGATCATATTTAATGAAATATTACAAATAAATACAAAAAGCATAAAAAGCCATGTCTTCTTTGCTTTTTTGTTTTTGTTAAGAGGTTAGCTGGTTGCAGGTGTCTGTCAGCGTTTCCTCTGTCCCTGTCTTTTGTCTTTGTGACGGACATCGTTTTATTTTTTCAAACTCTTTCCACGTGGAAGAGAATGTCGCTCTCACGACCTCTATGCTTATTCAAGATTTCATCGCATTCTGACGTGAGCCGTCGGGACATCTTTTCCAATCTGCGCATGTTGCCCTCACATGAGAACTGCAGAATATATCATTTTTGCATCGTGTCTAAATATATTCCGAGAACTCATCCAGTTTATGGAGCAACATGTGCGTCAAAAGATGCCTGGACACTCGTTCCAGAATAAAATGTCATGTGCTTCTTCAGCTTCTAGTTAGACAAATACATAAAAAAACCTACAGAAAACACAAATGTTTGATGTTAAAGTTGTTCTCCAGTATATTTGAAATGATTTCACATTTGGATGATGCTGTGTTCAGTTCGTGCGATGCTAATGAGTGACATTCTGATTCATTTGAAGGGTTGTGCTAAAACAGTACCACTACATACAACTCTGCCAGCCAATCCGAGACATTGGCTGGGTGCAGACTCTTAAACAACACCTGTGGGGCTGTGCACTTCCCGATCCCAGGTAATCCCCATCACAGGAGCCAGAAAGCCAAACACAGCAACGCCTCATTCTCATTCATACCAGCTCATGGACTTGCTTCTGTTTTCGACCACAGTGGCACTTTTTTTTTCCTTTGGCACACCACCACATTGTTCTGGGTCAGCTCCTTTTGGTATTTCTCTTCCATATGGACACTAGAGTGGAAGGGGAAGGGGTCTGCCTGCTGTCATGCAATACATGTGCACTTCTTTAAGGTGGCCTCTAAAGGAAGCCTAAAGTTCTGCCATGCCTGGAACAGCTGCAGCTGTAATGCCATAATCTGACTGGGCTGCAGATGCTGGTGAGTGGCATTTACAAAGGATTCACCAAAATGCCAAAGTTCATGCTCAATCATCCAGGTACAAAATCCAATAATGATCAGTCAGGTCATCTGGACTGTTTCTTTTTTTGTGGAATGATGTTTCGCCCTCTATCTGGAGGGTTTCATCAGTCTGAGGAGTCCCAAGTAAACTCCTCCTCCTGGGAGGAGTCAATGGGGGACAGGACAGCCCCCAGATACCATCTTATCACCAGCAAACTGGTTGGTCTTGTAAAGGAGTTTACTGCTTGGTGGCGAAACAGTTTACTTGGGATTCCTCAGACTGATGAAGCCCTCTGGATGGAGGGCAAAACGTCTTTCCACAAAAAAACTGTCCAGATGACCTGACTGAGCATTATTGGATTCTCCAAAATGTCTAGAACTGTTCACAGTTTTAAAATGTTTTCACAGAGGCACGCAATCATGTCACTTGAATTATGAACATCTTCAAAAGACAAATTCTTAAAATAGTCCCAAAGACATTGTAGACGTCTCAAACCCGCATCATGTCAAGAGCTCGACAGCTGGATTTTAACTCCTGCACGAGAACTCTCCTCTGACAGGAAACACCTGACGCAAATGTTCTAAGTCTAAAAACCACACTAAAGATAAACGGTAATTAATAAACAACCAGTCCAAATCCACCAGCTGTTATTCCAAAAGTGTATTCCAGTAGAATAAATCATAAACATGGAGGTGACTGCAAAAGTGTCAGTCTGAGTCAGGTATGGTGTGGGCAGAGGGGGAACAAATAATATGTTAGGCCTAGATTATTGTTTTTAAGTAGGGATAAATGATATTGGATTTTTGGCCGATATCAGAAATAACTTATTTAGAAGCCTTTCATATCGGTGAGTTTTTTTGATGGAATGGCTGATGTCCAATATTTAACTTTATCGCTAATATCGTCCGATACATGCCGATAATATCGTGCATCCCTATTTTTAAGTCATGCACACAAAAATAAGATGCAATTTTTAAAAATAGTCCACTTTCACTCAATTCAGTGCGACTGCACTGGTAAACTTGTATTTTCTTGCAGTTGTAAGTCACTGATAGTGTCCCACCATTGCAGCCCAGTAAGATCTTGCCTCTCCTTGGTGCATGTATAAAGGAACGCATTTTGCATCTTAGATGAAGGTTTAGTTTTATGTGGACATATCTTTTTTGTTGTCAATTTTCTCATTTTAAATCTGTTTGTAGAGCATGCTGCCACTGTTTTCTGTTGGACCTGCAATCTGACTTTCAGTTTCACGTAGTGCTCTCGCCCTCTGTCTAAAACATGTGATGAGTGTAACGCATGGATGTAAGATCGAGGGTGAGTATGAATGGAATGAGGGAAGCAACGCCACCTTGGAAAAAGACGTTTCAGAGGACGTTGTAAGTGCATGCAGATGATGTAATTGATTTTCTCCTTAATTTAATAACATCAAATGTGATTTTGTTATTTCATTGTTGCAATGCATCTTAAAGCTTAATTTTTAAAGCACATCCCGAGACCCTCATTGTTTATCGACTGATTTTTGTCGATGTTTAATAGCCCACACCTTGTAAATTTAATATAGATATAGTCATGGGTCCTGATACAAAAATAAAACCTAGAACTGAAAGGAAGATATTCCAAAGCATCTGGTCTTTAATAGGTCCTGAACTTGTTCTTATCTTGAGTGTACTAAGACACAGACTGTGCCTTAATTAACCAAAAAACAAAAATGTCAAAGCTGTGTGTGAAAAATGACGTTAACCCCAGACGATTTGTAGAAACACAGCAGCAAAAAGTATTTGTTTCCTGGAGGACTTTATTTGTTTTTAGCATGAGGAAAAGTTTGGCCCATTCTTTTTACTAACAATCTAAGTTTATTGATGTTTGTAGATATTTAGCAGAAAGGTCTCGCCACAACATTTCAGTCAGGTGGAGGCCAGGACTTGGGCTTGATTCTTGATTCTTCTCATTTTTAGCTGTTTTGCTGTAGATTACCTGCTGTGTTTGGGATCACGGTTCTCATCATGACCCAGTTTGGTCCAAGCTTCATCTGTCAGACAGATGTCCTCACATTTGACTCTAGAATCCTCTGATCTACAGAGGAGTTCATGGTCAACACAATGGTTCTATGGCTGTAAAATAAGCCCAAATCATCATTCCTCCACTGTTGTGCTTCACACATGATATGAGGTACCAGCGCTGATAAGCTTGGTTTATTTTTTGCCACACGTGGCATTATTGGCAAACATCTTTATGTCGGTCTCATCTGTCCAAAGGACATTGTTTCAGAAGTCCTAGCTTCTGAATGAGCTTCTCATCTTTAATGGGCTTGGCTCATTAAATGCAATTCTGTAAATCCATGTTGTGCTGTTTTGCTCATTTTGGAGGAAAGGTGTCATGACCGGGGTTTGGATTCAAATAAGCCAGACACAGGAGTGCAAAAGGACAGTTTTTATTATTTTTGCTGCTGGACAGAGGAGTCAGGATCTGCTGAGTTATCAGGTCCTCGCATGCTGGAGGGAGAGAGTCACCCGTCAGCGTGGCAGCGATGATGTCACTGGCGGAGCAGCTGCAGAGCAAACTGGTGCTGTATGTGGTCCGTGGAGAGCGAATCCAAAAACGGGGTCCGGTTGTCGAAGCAGGGGTCATGAACAGGAAGGCAGAGAGCAGAAGCCGGAGCCAAGACGTGATCCGTGAAGTGTAGTTGTAGAGGAGGAAGAGTCGGTACCGTAGTCAGAATGCAGAAATCCAGACCTGAAGAGGGGCAGGCAAGGCGAAGAATCTGTGTCACAGGCGAGGGGTCGAAACCAGGCAAGGATACACAAGGCTGTGGCGAGAAACTATGGATGGCTTCAAAATCAGGGACCGTGGAAGGTTTAATAATTCAGCAACAAGGAAGTGAGTGACTAGAGCTTAAATAGTGTAGATAACAGGTGCGTGGAATCAGGGCTGATTGCTGTGGAGGAGCAAGGGACGCATGGCATGGAGTGACAGGAGCAGGCTTGGGCTGAGAGATGGGTGATAAGCAAAATAAAGCAGGGAAACAGAAACTATGGCAGGAGGGGGCAGGTGACATGGGCAGGAGAACACAGAGCATGAAGGCCGGAGTATGTCAGGATGGACAGAAACGTGGCATAAGAAGCAGAGACATGAGCAGATGAGGGGTTAGCGGGGGCCACTGACCATCACAGGAAGAGGCTTTTCATGCAATCCTTTTAGACAAGCCATACTTGTTCAGTCACATTTGTAATACTTCATTGTCATAAACTTTTATCTTTACCTGCTACCCTGAGGCCTGTAGAGTCAGAGATGGGAGTCTTTGTTTTGTTTTTCTTTCCACGTTTCTGATCATTGACCTCAGGATGAACTCTAAGAACCATCCACACCTGGAAGAGTTGTAGTCATTTTGTCTTTCTCTGTGGAATAATGGACACGGAATAGTTTGGAAATGACCTTTAACCCTCCAAAGACTGAAGGGCAGCAACAGTGGCTTCTCATCGGTGATGTCTTTTCTCGTCCGCTCTGTGTTATGTGCTCCAGAGCAGCAATCTGGTGAAACTCCTGCTTTTATAGAGATGATCACTGATAATGAGAAGTTAATCAACACATTTGATCAGCAGCTCCTGGCTGATATTTTCCTTCCTAAATACAATGGAAGCAGTAAGGGTGGACTTAGATTTTCACACTAACTTTTCTATTTTGTCTTCATAATAGCTGGTGGGATCTGTGTTTTTGTACACTTGAGCTTAGATTTGAATAATTTTAGAAGTTAAATCTGCAAAAGGACGTACTTTCTTTTCCCCATGACTGTATTTTGAGCTTGAGCTGTGAGTTTCCCTGAAACGAGCGCTCACGAGGTGCTTCAGTCCAAGAGCTTGTGCTTTGTCTGAGGAAAATGTCTTATCACGTGTCTCTCTTTCTGTGTTTTTCTCTGGTATCTAAACCATGTACTGCCTCCTAGAGATTCTAAAGACGAGGTTCTCCGACCCAGTCATCATCATTCCCAGGGTGCTGCTGGAGGAGGAGGACCACAGCTGGAGCGAAGCGAGCCTCGGAGGAGCGGCGGTGTCGTACGCTTCGACCTAGATGGGAACCAGACTGATTAGTCCCGCTCACTTGGACAAGCCAACTAGTGTTTCTGCAGGGAGTGATGCTCTGCACCGTACATATCTAGTGTTTGAGTTGGGTCATGAGGTGAGCCCCACAGGAACGCATGTATGAAACCGTCTCGGCTCAAAGATTCCAGCAGTTCAACTCGTGGTTTATCACAAAGGTGCTACATCGTTTTCTCATTTTATGCTGTTTCTTTAAAAGTAAATGTCATCATTAGTACCAAGGCCAAACCAAGAAGTGCTTAATAATTTAAGAAAATGTACATTTATCACCTTTAGTCTGAATAAAAAGCATAATTACCATACAGTACTGTAACTTTTGTCATTTGTAGACAAAGGTTTTGAGGCCTGATGAGCCCAGACTCTGAGAATTCATATCAGAGGAGGGAAATAACGAGAGAATACTGTAAACTAATAATGTTTGTCTTGCATATTAATTTATTTTCTCAAATTATACCAATGTCAGTCGCTCTTGATGTAACAGAAAATTTGCTTAATCTAATCCTTTCTTTTGTTCATATGCACAGAATTTTTAAAAAACAGACATTTATATTTTTCTTTAAAATATTGTTTCAGTGATTTTTGTAGAGGTTTACTCTCAGCTAATGTAGAGTTTTTTTACACCAATATTTTGTTTTTGACAAAGCAATGTTTATTAAGCCTGAGCAAGCAATTCGCCGATGTCCCCTTTCGCTTAAGGATTTAAATAGTTAATGTTTGTAGTCTTAGAGATGAGTGTTTTTCTGACTGGAACTGAACAGGGTATGCAAGTAAACCTTTATGTTTTAGGTGTTAAGATATTCAAGTGAGTATAGTTACACTGTACAAAAAGATTTTAAAAAATTTGTTTGAGTTTTGTTTGTTTGTCCACAGAGTGACAGACCTTGACGAGTAGAGGGAGCAATTTTAATTACAACCAGGTGCAGTGGCGGAGCCAAAGGGAGGCCAATGGTGGCCTTGGTCATCAAGATTTACCTTCAGCCACCCCAATCAGTGGAAAAAACTATACCGGTACTTTTTGGCAAGACAGGTGCTGGTCATAAAATTAGAATATTATGAAAAAGTTGATTTATTTCAGTAATTCCATTCAAAAAGTGAAACGTGTATATTATATTCATTCATTGCATGCAGACTGATATATTTCAACTTTTTTTTTTTTAATGTTGATGATTATAACTGACAACTAATGAAATCCCCAAATTCAGTATTTCAGAAAATTAGAATATTGTGAAAATGTTCAAAATTGAAGACACCTGGTGCCACACGCTAATCAGCTATTTCACTCAAAACACTTACAAAGGCCTTTAAATGGTCTCAGTCTAGTTCTGTAGCTACACAATCATGGGGAATACTGCCGACTTGAAGTTCTCCAAAAGACGACCATTGACACCTTGCACAAGACACAAAAGGTCATTGCTAAAGAGGCTGGCTGTTCACAGAGCTCTGTGTCCAAGCACATTAATAGAGAGACGAAGGGACAGAAATGATGTGGTAGAAAAAAGTGTACAAGCAACAGGGATAACTGCACCCTGGAGAGGATGGTGAAACAAAATGTGGGGTAGATTCACAAAGAGTGGACTGTAGCTGGAGTGCTTCAAGAACCACCATGCACAGACATATGCAAGACATGTGTTTCAGCTGTTGCATTCCTTGTGTCAAGCCACTCTTAAACAAGAGACAGCGTCAGAAGCATCTTGCCTGGGCTAAAGACAAAAAGGACTGGACTACTGCTGAGTGGTCCAAAGTTATGTTTTCTGATGAAAGTAAATGTTGCATTTCCTTTGGAAACTAAAGTATGAGAGACTGGAGAAATACCCCATAGAAAATCTATAGGGTATTGTGAAGAGGAAGATGTGATACACCAGAGCCAACAATTCAGAAGAGCTGAAGGCCACTATCTGAGCAACCTGGACTCTCATAACACCTGAGCAGAGACACAGGCTGATTGACTCCACGCCACGTCACATTGCTGCAGTAATCCAGGCAAAAGGAGCAACAACTACGTATTGATGCTGAACATGCTCATACTTTTCATGTTCATGCTTTTACTTTTTTATTGGTCTTAAGTAATATTCTAATTTTCTGAGATACTGAATTTGGGGTTTTCATTAGTTGTCAGTTATATTCATCAACATTATGATCCTAAAACATCTGCAGGTCCAGATGAACTTCCACCTTATTTCTTAAGGCTGGCTGCTCATATCATCACAGTCCCTGTGACCCACATCTTCAATCTCTCCATAAACCAAAACTCCATTCCAGATGTTTGGAAAACAGCCTTTGTTCTTCCTTTGCTGAAGGGAGGTGACCCCACCTCACTGAACAACTATGGACCAATCTCTAAACTCTGCATTTTAGCCAAGGTTCTAGAAAAACTGATAAACTCTCAAATCAAAAATTACCTGGACTCATTTAACATCTTACCTCCACATCAATCTGGTTTCAGGAAACAACACAGCACAACCACTGCTTCACTGAAGGTTCTTAATGACGTTGTTGAAGCACTGGATGCTAAAGATTATTGTGCTGCACTTTTCTTAGGCCTGTCTAAAGATTTTGACACTGTGGATCAGAACATCTTGTGTCATAAACTCTCAGAAATCGGTTTCTCAGATCACACCATTGGTTGGTTCTCTAACTATCTCTCAGACCGGAGGCAATGTGTTCAACATAATGGTTCCTCCAGTTATTTAACAGTCAACAATGGTGTACCACAAGGCTCAGTCTTAGGACCCACCCTCTTTACAATCTATATACATAATGTAGGTAAAACATCCCTAATTTTTTTAATTTAATTTTTTAATTTAGCCTTTATTTATCCAGGTTAGTCTCATTGAGCCACGAGAACTCATTTTCAAGAGAGACCTGTTTAGGGAGCACATGGTGGGGGTTAAGGGCCTTGCTCATGGGCCCAGAGTGGGGCGAATGAGGGTGGGGGCAAGTGTGGGTGTTTCACCTACCCCACCCACAATTTTTGATGTTGTCGGGGCCGGGGCGTGAACCGGCAATCTTCGGATCACAAGCCCACCTCTCTAACCTCTGCGCCACCACTCCCCACTCCCATCCATACATTTCTACGCTGACAACACAGTTGTTTATTGTCGAGCTAAAACAGTTGAAAAGGCTTTCCAGCTTTTGAAATCTGCATTCAACATCACCCAGACTGATTTGTTCCACCTCAAACTTGTCCTAAATGCTGACAAAACCAAAGGGATGCTTTTTTCAAGTAGGAAGTTGGTCCCAGCAGTTCTTCCTCCGATTTTATCCTCAAATGGTCTCCCCATTGAGTTTGTTGATTCCTATAAATATTTGGGTATCTTGGTCGACTCACGTCTCTCTTTCAAGCTCCATGTGGGAAACTTGGTAAAGAAACTGAAAGTTAAACTGGGTTTCTTTTTCAGAAACAGATCCTGTCTAACCCTGAATGCTAGAAAACGCCTTGTATCTGTGACTTTCCTTCCCTCCATTGATTATGGTGACATTATTTACATGAACGCTCCTACAAGAACCCTGCAGATGTTGGATGCTGTCTATCATGCTGCACTAAGATTCATAACTGGCTGTGATTATCGTACCCACCACTGCACCCTGTATTCTCTGGTTAACTGGACATCATTAACTACACGCAGACTCTCTTACTGGTACATTTTCATCTTTAAATCACTTCTTGGTCTGCTGCCTTCATACATCTCCTCCTACATGTCTCTGTGTGAGTGCAGCTACGGAGTGCGCTCTCAGGACATTATTACCTGCAGTGTTCCCTCAATGAGGACTGAACTTGGTAAAAGGACCTTCTCCTACTCCGCTCCTGTTTCCTGGAATATCTTGCAAAAAGATCTGAAGCTCTCGACCTTGACCTCTCTAAGTGGCTTTAAGAATCTGTTGGACTCCTGGCAGGGACCAATGCTGACATGTTCCTGTTTTTAGTTTTCTACATTCTCCTTAGAATCTAGCTGTTTTTGTTACCTTTCTTTTTTTTTAGCCATCCTATTTGTAAAAAAAAACAAACATCCATAACCTTTGACCAAAATTCTTTGACACAGAGCATCTGTTTAAAAAGCACAAGATTATCCTTTGTTACTTGTTGTAGATAGCTCTTTGGACCACCATAATTAGGAAGAATCATTTTTAAATCTGACCAGGCTGACAAGTAAACAGTTGATTCAAATACAGCTAAACCACCTCCATTTCTCATTACAAAACCATTTTGGCAGAAATATCCATGTAATATCCATAACATCTTGATTAGATAAAAACTGATTTTATACTTGCTGTACATCTGTAAAAACAACAAAAAATTGCTGACTTTTCTTAAAATAGCGTCTCATCAAAGCATCTTTCAAATTTACCACAACATCCACAGTTAGGTATAAGCTAGGAATTATAGACAAAGGCCCTGGTGGAGCTGATTCAACCTTTACACTGTCACACCCAGTGGTTGTGGGACACTAAACATAGGTTCTGGTTTAGATGTTAGGTTTTATAATTCTTTGCCCTGCAGGTGAAGATTATTGGGATTTTAACACCTGAGCTCTGAGAGACAGAGAAAAGAACAAGGAAACACTCAGCTTGATGATACCTAAAAAAGTTAAGTCTGGTCCTCTGGACATTCAAAAACAAAACAAAACAAAAAATATAGAAACGTTTCGTCTCTCATCCGAAAGACTTCTTCAGTCTGAGGTGCTGTATTCAGCTCAGTCTCTTAAATAGTACCTTCTCAGAGTGGATCAACCAGTTTGCTGCTGACAACCAGAACCAACTGATCACATGCTCAAGAAGGACCATCAGCCTAACAATGGATCATTAGCACCTGATGGCTGTTTACTGTTCACAGAGGGCTGAGTGATACTAGCAATCACAGCATTGTAAGAGGGGGACAATTGAACACGGAGGCTCCGCCCCTGTTTAATGATGGACGGTTTCTTTTCACAAAGATGGCCTCCTTTACTCCTCTCTCAAACCATCGTTCCTCTCTGTCCAGGATGTGAACATCTTCATCCCTGAAAGAGTGACCTCTGACCTGGAGATGAGTGTAGACCGCAGAGTCCTGGCCTGATGATGTTGATCTTTTGTGCTGGTCCATCCTTTTGGCCAGTGGCTGTTTAGTTTCCCTGATGTAAGACTGATCACCCTCCTGACACTGAACAACATACACAATATTACTCTGTTTGTGCCGGGGGACTGGATCTTTGGGATGAACCGGTCTTTAATGTATTTTGAGG